AATCTTTGGGAATTACTGGTAATCTGTGATAATCAATGGCAATCTTTGGTAATTTCTGGTAATCTTTTGTCAGTGGTAATCTTCGGAAACTCTTGGTAATCATAGGTAATCTTCGGTAATCCTCGGTAATCTCTGGTAATCCTTGGTAATCATCGCTTTTTGGTAATCAGGTGTACACGATTTTTTCGAGTTGGGCACCCCTCGTAGCACGCATTGACGCTTAGTACACTTATGAAAATGGAAACCCCCACAAAAAATCTTAGACAAACTAACAAATCCTCACCTGGTACAGGTATAAGTTGGTCTCGTACCCCGACATCTTCTCCTTGTCGGACACAAAGGGCTGGTCGTCCGTACCATCTCCTGCAACACACGAGCAAACGCAAAACACGGTTAGCACACTGCGTTCTTTTATTCCAGTAGCGTCGTGAACAAAAGTTAGGGGACGACCGCCCATCCAGCAGCTCTCGCCAAATGAACACCAACAATAAAATCCATAAATATTTTTCGGGAGAATAAAAATATATAAGTCGCGCAATCGCTTGATGATAATCACATGATGGACGCCCCAGTTCCCGGTCTAGCATACCCCCTCCCCCTCCTCCCCCCGGGGGGCGAACAATGGCAGCTCGTTAGTGCGGGGGGTACAGTAAAGGGGAAGGGAGGATCCCCCCTCCATCCCCCCAGCACCGGGCTGGGACCCGCAGGACCCAGCAGGACCCAGCCCAACACGGGGCTCGCACTCCAAGAGTGCCCCCCCCCCTTCCCCCTCCAAAACACACGGCGAAGCTCCCTCTCTCTCTCTCTCTCTTTTTTTTATCGCTCCGGTTTCTCTGCTGCAAAAGCGTTCCGCTCGTTCTGCTGCGAGTTAAACGAGCAAACTCCGCTCGGAGCAACACAGCTACCACTGCTACCCGCTGCTACACGGGCCTCTGGAGCGGGCTGCTGGAGCCGAGCGAAAGCAGAGCGAGGCGCTCCACAGCAGTCTGTATGTTTTTTCTAGCGCGGGCGAATAAACCTCCATCTCGATAAAGATGAACAACAATAATTGGCCCAGTAAGGGCAGAGGTGGCAGAGAGGAGGAGGAGGAGAGAGAGGCGGAAAGAGGAAGGGGAAGGAGGACAGCGCGGGGTTGTTAAATTAATACGCCGACAGGGAGGAACGAGGAGTGAGGGACACCGGTAGGAGCCTCTGGAAACACGAAGGTGGGGCTCGATTCGCCACGACTTATTAAATAATAAATCTCGTTTATTCTGCTGCGCCACTGCACGTCCGCGTTACCCAATGCTTCCCACCTTCAGAAAGTGCTCTGCTGTAATTTCAACGTCGCTTTTTTTCTACCGGGCAAGGGGGGAGTAAAAAAGAGAGAAAAGGCCGCAAACGGGGGCCTCTGTGTATCCGCAGCAACTTTCTTTTCTCTTTCTCCAGGTCATTTGCCAAACAGACGATTCCTCGGCGTTGCGCCATTGACGGCACTGACAAACAGGACTCGATTACTTTTCGGGAGAGCGAGCGGAAAGGGGCAGTTGGGGGAGAGGGAGAGGGAGGGGGGGG